AAACCACTAGAGAATGGCCTCCGGCACTCTCACCAAATGCATCTTGTAAGAATTCTTTGACCTTGACTATAAACTGACAAGTCGTAATCGTGCTCGTCTCCGGGCGTGTACATCCACTCACGGTCCTCCATCCTTTAACAGACGTATCAGCACATATGAGTCACCATCAATTGCATCTACGCGGTGTCCCTACTCTCTAATAGGTAAGGATAGGTCCTAATCCCACCACCGTGGATCCGTAGATGAGGTTAGTTTCATGCCCGCTCCTATCCGAGATGGAATTTCGGAAGACACCTCCCCTGTTTTCCGATACACGCCCCGCAAGGGAGAGTGTGTATCAGGAGAACAAAGGTGATGCTTGAAACACCGTCTCGGACCGGAGCGGACCATGGAAACTAACCCATCTACGCATCCATGAGCTGTCCAAAAACGTGGACAATCCGAACAGAAATGCTCGCAGATATGCAAGGGATCGCATACCTCCAAAGGTATCTCTTTCGGACGGAGAGCGCCTAACTAGGCTACACCGATCTCTGACGACAGATAAGCGGAAAAAGAGATGATTTATACATAGGGTGTCGGTGAAGTCGGGCTAAGCGAGGCGATGGCGAGTCGACGCAGTGGTGGTGGCGACTTGATCTTGCAGTGCACTGACCAGCGACGCCAACAAAAGCGATCGGGGACCTCCGGGTCACCTCCGGCAGTCTGCTACGCAAAAGAAGAAACACGACACTATAAGTTCAAAATTTGGCAGCACCTCCCTTGCACGGGGGAGGTTTCAAAACCTACAAAAAAACAACGGCACGAAGGCCGATAATCACAAAGCAACACGAAGGCCGATAAGAACAATGGCACGAAGGCCGACATCACAACGGGCACGAAGGCCGACAAACGGAGAAAGGGTGGATATACCTTGCCCACGTCTATGTTCGGTGACGGTAGGGCGCCGGGGAGGGGGCACACGGAGAAGACGGCCGAGGCACCTCCTCCTCCCCTCTACCTCGGCTTCCTCCCCTCTCCCCTTCTCCTCCTCCTTCCTCTCCTCCTCCTTCTTCCTTTTCTCTCTTTTTTCCTTCTCCTTTTCTTCCTTTTCCTTTTCTTTCTTTCTCTTCTTTTTTCTTCCTTCTTCTTCCTTCTTCTTCTTCTTCTTCTTCCTCCTCCTTCTTCCAAGCGGTGGCAGGACGGGCCGGTGGGCAGGGAGTGCGTGCGAGGGGAGAGGACAGCGGTGGCAAAGGCATGCGTGACTGGCGTGGCGGGGCCACCTTCTGGTGGTGCAATGCGTGTGTTGTGTGGCGTGCTAGGGGTACTCGGGGGGTGGGGGTGGCAGTGGTGGTGGGGCTTTGCCTGTGGTGTGTGAGCCTGGCAATTTGGGGTGGGGTGCTTTCGGAAGTGGTGTGTGTGGGGGCCTGTGCATGGCATGCTGGGGTGGGCGGGCGGGTGGTAATTTGGGGTCCTCGGAAATTGGGCCACATGTGATCAGATGTCTGGGTTTTTGGCATCCGACGTCACAATTTGCTTGAAACCTTTACAATTTTTTACCACAGCCTCCACATGTGATAACACGACGCATCGACAAGTTTCATGATTTTCGGACTTTGTTTGCATTTTATATAATTTAAAATCACATTTCCGGCAAGTACCTCAACATGTTACGTCAACGAGATACTCGAGATTTCATGTGACTTTTTGGATACGGCCTAAACATACCCTAAATATCATGAGTATCAATTTTTGGATGATCAAAATCCATTATTCCATGTACCTGCAGTTCAAATTTGAAATATCCCAAACAATTAGACGAAACGAAATAAACTAATGAAATATATCAAAAAAATCAAAATTGCCTCAAATTTTAAAATAGAGTTTTAAACAACTTTGTCACAAGGCCACGAGAAAAATTTGGGCCCAAAATAAAAAAAACATTTTGAAAGTGCCATGGGGACACTTTCGGCAAAGTAAACTTCCGAAGTGTCTTACCGAAGGCACTCGGCAAAGATGATTTTCAAAAATAATTTTTTTTTGCCGAGTACCTGACGCTGGCACTCGGCAAAATAAGTTTTAAAAAATTAAAAAAAAAATTTGGCGAGTGCCCAAGGTTTACACTCGGCAAAATAAGTTTTTAAAAATAATAAATTTTTTTTGCCGAGTGCCATCCGTTAGGCACTCGGCAAAGTCTGACGGCAGATGCCCGCCGTCACGGGCCGGCCACCTTTTGCCGAGTGGGACTTTTGCCGAGTGCCGCGGCACTCGGCAAAGCCTAGATTTGCCGAGAGCCAGGCTTTGCCGAGTGCATGGCGCTCGGCAAAGCCACGTTTGCCGAGTGTTTTATTTTGCCGAGTGCGGCATTCGGCAAAATATTTCTTTGCCGAGTGCTCCGATAAAAAGCACTCGGCAAAGTCTCAGGCACTCGGCAAAGTACAGTTTTCCAGTAGTGGCTTCCCTGGCTGGTCATGCCTTGGAGCTATCTCTAGCCTCCTGGGCCACCCCGCTTGGTCACGTTGCCTAATAGCCTTGCCCAATTGCCTGTAGAGGAATGGAACATGGGAGGGAAAAAAAAAAGATACAAAATATATGTGATTGATAAAATGGGTCCTAGAAAAGTAGGTCCTAGATTTGTGGGCTTCTGCTGGAGTTGAGTCTTGATTTGAGGCTATTGTTGGAGTTGTTCTGGCTACTTATGAGTTCTAATGCCTACTTAGTGCATATTTTTTTTCCTTTTGTGCAAGGATAGTGCATAGTTGGGTTGCCATGTCTTCTGCAAGGATACTACATAGACCACAATCTCATGTGCTTATTTGAAACTTCCAAAAATAATTGTTGTAGAAGTATAATTAACATTTCACATCATGGTAGCTGAGCCATGTTCGACATAGGAGCAGTAGACCTTTTGACTATTGATACCCGGGAACTTAAATATATGCACCATAACTTCATTGAAAAAAGATTAAGACATCGAGGGAAGATGGGTAGTATATATAGCTGGTAGTGCAAGTAGCATATGTAGCATGCATGATGCGTGGATTACTATTTAAATTCATTAGATACTACCCCTATCGCAACCGAATCGGCAGCATGTTCGATATCTTGAACTCTAATTTGCCATGCATATGTCATAGAGTAAATGAAATGTGCAACTGTTGTAGGGTAAGCAACCCTTCAGCTCCAAATTAAAGGAAGATGGTTGGGTACGGCTGTTATAAGTACAATCAAGCTTATGTATTGAAATTGTTAAGCATAGTCAAGCTTGGCCTACACGAATGATCATGCACGCATGTGGATTGCTCCCTTTTCTAATATACATACAGTACAAGTTCATCGTACCTTGGACTCCTCAGTGGACACCTTCCCCGCCAAAGGACAAACTACCACTTTTCCATGATCTTCTCAGCCGGTAACCATATAAACAATATCTGTTCTTTAAGGACTATGGGGCCGGGAATCTCTCAAACCATATGCTCTTAGACGGTTAGCCTATAATAAACATAGTAATAATAAAAGAAGTGTCACATCACACATATATATGTTTTGTTATTATCATTGGTTAGGTTCATTTCTTAACTAAACCATTCCAAATTTTAAAGTATTCAAGGAGAAAATATTTGTGTCCATGTCAAGCAGGCAACGAAAACATTGTGCTTGTGTTTGGGTCGTCTTACACCAACCAAATGTATATTCTATGGATTTTTGAACTGTATATTTTGTCTTCCTTTTTGTTGTCATGCATGACCATATATCTTGAGAAAAGTCATGCACAGACAATGTAAACCATGCATGCTTGTGTTACATTTTTTTATCAGTATATATGGTCTTTATTATGTTGCTACATATATGCTCTCCTTTTTTCTTCTTGCATACATCGCCATCATTCCACATTTTGTATTAGTGGTGAAGAGTTTCAGATGATTCTTTTCTCTGTTTTCCTTCCCTTCTTTCAGCGGGAGTTAGGTGTACATCCTTGCCATACCTAGACGAATTCGGCACGGCAGACTAGCGCATCTTTCATTGTCTTGCTTCTCGTAAATTTTCTTTCTTGTAGCTAGCTAGAAAGTGCTTGATGATCCTTGAAGTGGCACGTATCCTTTGACTGGACAAAGGAGAACTTGACAGACTTAGTTATGTTAGTTTTCTCTATCTTTGGCCCGGTGTATACGTTCCATCTCGTGTTGTGCTCTGCTGGAGACAACTTTGGAGCACCCCCACAAACTTCACAGAACGTAATTACAGAAACTTAGACCCTGTTTGATATAATAGTTAGCGGCTAATAATTATCTTCATGGATCCAAACAGATCTAACTAATAGTTTAACTAATTGTTAGGTGAGTATCCAACTATCAACTATTTTACTATTTGGATCAAACTAGCTAATAGTAGTTAATATTAGCTGTGACCTATTAGCTAGCTAACTATTAGCAGCTAATGGATCCAGACAGACCCTTAGCATATATCTCTACCATGAGAACCTCATCAACAATCGAGGACGGTTCTATAGCTCTCTCTCTATATATATCAAATATCAAAGATAAAGTTATTATTAGTGTGGGCACTTGTCTCCACAATAATAGCACAATATAAACCATGACCGGTACGTACAGTGGTTCTTGCATTGACAGGAACTATCTAGAGCCGACTGTGATAATTTCTTCTGCCCCATACCGATGGTATGGTATGAACCTTTTCGCTTTAAACTCAATTTAAATTCACACCTGTCATAGCTATTATTCCAGTATATACTTCTTTGAAACGAAAAAGTTGCAGACAATAATGGCACACATGCATGAAAACTTTGTGCTGCAAGGCAAAGATAAGTTCGGACCCACATGTGTGCTAATTCTTAATGACATGAAGAGCTAGCTCTGCCGGCCTATAAATGCTTGCTGGTGGTACTGCTTTGCTAATAAGGAGAGCAAAGAAGAAGGCAACACGACAGCCACACTAGTAGTAGTCATCTTCCTCCTCTTTCCTTTGGGAATAAGCTAGTTGGGACTTGGGAGCGAGGCATCATGTACCTGAACCCAAGAATCGTAGGGTGTGGGGAGAGGACACTGGTTCTCTCCCATGGCTACGGAGGGAGCCAGGCTATCTGGGACAAGGTGCTGCCACACCTGTCACGGACCAACAAGGTGCGTCAACTAACGTTTCTCTCATCATTCTCGCTCATCTATGGCAGCGATGAGCTCGATCGATCCATCTGCTGCTTCCTGCTTATTAATTATACTGATGATCTGATCCATGCATCAACATATATATATGATGAGATACCTACACAGGTACTACTCTTCGACTGGGACTTCTCGAGTACCGCCGCCGCCGCCGCCGCCGCCGAGGGGGCAGAGGAGGAGGGCGGGGAGCACAGCTACTACACGTTCTCGAGGTTCGCCGACGAGCTGGTGGCGCTCATGGACGAGATGAAGCTGCGCGGCGCCGTGTACGTGGGGCACTCCATGGCCGGCATGGTCGGCTGCATTGCGTCCATCAAGCGCCCCGACCTCTTCACCCACCTCGTCCTCGTCGGCGCATCCCCGAGGTGAGCATGCACACCGGCCGACCTACTGCCTACTACAGCTACATCCTACACGCTGGCCTGATTGCGTAGTTTCCTCTGAAATCCTTTCCTTTTTTTTTTTTCAACTGTTCAGTGTCCAAGTCATTACTCTATGGACAAACACTGGATTAGTTAACTTTTAAACAACTTCTTTTCTTTTTGTCTAGCATGATTGTTGCTACTTTTTTAATAACAATATTATATTGTCGTTAGCCAGCCAGGCTCTTATCATAATGGTAAAAAGGAGCGTATGTCATTAGTAGGAAGGAAGATCCTGAGAGTAGTATGATCTTTCAGAGTTACTAATTAATTTCTATCTAGTATCCTAATTCACTCTATTCTCTGGTTCATCTATGGTATATATATGGTCCATACATCCTCGGCTGGGTCCATCCTCAGGTGTCGAGGCTATCGGGTATAGTTTTGTTCTATTATCTTCGAAATTATCCATGCATCCGTTGTCCATACAAGATGTTCTTCTAATAAACATAAATTCCTATTCAATACATTTATACACACTTCAGTTTGCTTTCAAATCAACTTGTCTTTTGCAAGCTTTCTATTTCTGATGACCATAATTGTTAGAATTGTATACCAAATTATGTGGTTGTAAAGCGTCTAGCCGAGTTTGATAGTTCCATCTATGTATCCTTGATTTATATGGTTCTGCCGTTTTTTTATTATTTGCGAACGGAGAAGCACATGATACTATGACAGAAGTGACTGCGGTTCATATAGCGATGAAATGAATCTAATAACATTTACAGCAAGACTTAATGCATATTTATTTTACAAGAAAAACTATATACTCCCTCCGATAACCTAAAAAACCATTCTAGTTTTATCTTAAGTTAAAGAATTAAGTCTAATAAGTGAGAGGAGTTCACAAAAGTAGCACATGATATTTACGTAATAAAACAAGTATAATATTATGAAAAATAGTTCATTAAGAATCTAGTCATATATATTGTTTTTTTTTTGCTTCAAAAGGTCATCATGGTTTGACTTGGCACAAAATTAGAATTACTTTTTTTTATAGACAGAGGAAATGTTGTGTTGGTTAATTGTTACAATCATTAATGTGCCACCTATTCAAGTTATCCTTCTTTTTTATTTTTCATACTTCATTACTTATGTTGCTATCCTCAACTTTTGATATTAGTGAGGATTAGCTGCCGGTTCTCTGTCATAATAAATTCAAAAATGTAGCAGTCACGGCACCATCGCGAAATTGACGGGATCACAAGTGGACGTAATCTAGAGGGCATAAAGTAGCCAATCACGTTCATTCTTCTCCGTTCTTGGTCATAACTAGGGCAGGTTCTATTCACACGTACTCACTCTGTGCCAAACTATAAGTCATTCTGACTTTTTTTATATATGTAGTTTTTTTTCTTGCGAAACCTAGATACGATATAGTTTTTACTATATGTAGACATAATGTATGTCTAGTTACATAGCAAAAGCTATGCATCTAGAAAAGTCAGAATAATTTATAATTTATAATGGATGAAGTATTATTATAAGATTGGTTTGTTGATGGTATACTTCTTTTGTACGTCCACCTTTTAAAGGAGAACTTTGATTTAAGTGTTGATGGTATACTTCTTTTGTACGTCCACCTTTTAAAGGAGAACTTTGATTTAAGTAAGCCAACGCTTATAAATATTGAGTTATGATAATTATGGTTAGGTTTAAGCATGTTTAGTGCACAAAAGCTGCATCTATTCAAAAACTATTTAATATGATACTGATTTGTGGCAGCTAAAACTGATAATATACTGAAGAAATATCAAAGCTCAACATTTTATTTTTAAGTTTAAGATTTTTTTTCTTCAAAAATTGTCTTGGAGATTAGAGTACGGATCGATGGAGTACATACATACATTAAAGAAAACTAGTTTAGTATGGTTAACTTTCTGTACTAATCAATCAGAGAAATGAATAAATAAATAATGGAACGAAGATCACTCTCATCAGCTGTGACACAATCTCTTCTACATTTGTCAACATATATTTCCACAGTTTTACGTTGATCAACGATATGATCATTGCAGGTACATGAACTCGGAGGACTACGAGGGCGGGTTCGACGAGCCTGAGATCGAGGCGATGCTGTCCAGGATCTCGTCGGACTTCCGCGGCTGGGCCGAGGACTTCGTGCCGCTCGCCATCGGCGGCGGCGCGGACGACCACCCCTCGTCGGTGGAGGTGCTGGCGCGGAGCTTCTTCGCCATGGACCCGCGCGTGGCGCACGGCCTGGCGCGCATGATCTTCCTGGGCGACCAGCGCACGCTGCTGGGCGACGTGGTCGTGCCGTGCACGCTGGTGCACGTCTCTGGCGACTTCGCGGCGCCGCCCTGCGTCGGGCGCTACATGCAGGCCCGCATGCGCGCTGCCGCCATGCACACCATCGACTCGGTGGGGCACTTCCCGCAGCTCGTCACGCCCGACGAGCTGCTCGGGATACTCGACCTCGTTCTCGGCTCCGGTGCTGCTTACGGGGAGGAGGAGGAGGAGGCTACTGCAGCCGCCATGGCAGAGACGAGTAGCGAGGTCGTCGTCGTATCCTCTGGTGGTCTTGCCGATGCGCCGGAGTCCAAGGGCCGTATCGACGTGGCGACGTAGTGCTCGTGCTGCTCTGGTGCAACAACATCCCGCTCGATCGATCAGCCTTGGCTGGCTCTTGTGCTCTGTGGTCTCATTAGATTTGGTTCAGTCCACATGTTTAACGTACATTGCGCGTTTGGATTTTGTATAATTCGTAGAAACATTACCATGGTTCATTTGGAATATTTAGCTATTGCGTCACCCAATCTGTTGCATTATTGGTTTGATCATGATGGATTGAATGAAATGGAACAGTGATTGTTAAAGCATTGTAAATGACACGGTTTGCAGGCTTCCAGCTTCCCCGTGAATCTAATTAACGTAGAGATCCATGGTTTTTTTTTCCTCGGGAGAAAATTGCATATATAGGACTCTCGTCTAACCATTTTGCTGATGTATATCTCTCTCCATCCTAAAATATAAGGTTTTTTAGTTGTCCTAAGTCAAAACCCATTCTAAGGGGAATTGGTGGTGTGGCTAGCAGACACAGAAAGAAGTTTAATTGGTTGCCGGACACACACTGGTTCATGAAAAATTTGATGGAGCAATCGTGTGCTTATTAAAGCAATATTTTGCAACTGAGTGAAAGAGAGAAAGATAACAAAAATATCTTTTTTTTTTGCCCCGAGCACGTTCTTCTTTTTTCCCTCCCCCTTCTTCTTTTGGTCTCCTCTCTCCTTGTCTTCTCACTGGTACACCTAGCCGTGCAGCAAAGAGTGGAGGCGCAGGCATGGGGTGAGGGGTGGGGGCATGATGGCCAGTAACCCGCAGTCGGCTCGTGAGGGGTAGGAGGCGTGCGCCGGTCACCACTGGAATGGGGGGAGGCCTAGCTCAAATAGGGCCCCATGGAAATCTCGAAATTAATTAAGGACCAACTAATAAGAATTATGTCATTGCTGCGTGTGTCTTTCTCCACCGGCCCGCGCCACACCCCCCACTCTCCAAACGATGGCAACGGGCTTGCAAGATGGAGGTCCTAGCCACCGAATTCCAGACAGTGCATTCGTCTATGTCGTCCGTGCACCTTGGAGGCCACCTCCCCGATGAATACCACCCATCATGCAGTCCTCCCCGAGATCCAGCGCAGAGGCCACTTGCTTGGCGTGGCGGCACAAACCAATCACATGGTAGCATTCATCGGGCATGTGGTGGGCTTGCGTGGCTCGTTGGTGCCGGTGTGGGAGGCAGTAGCAAGCTGTTTGGTGTGGAAATGGACGGGCTAGGCACACTCCTGCTTCGTCATCTTGGCGCTCGTGTGGCTTAGCGTCAAACATGGGCAGCAGCTGGTGCCTGGGCTCTTCGTGTCAGCGTTGAGGATCATGAGCTTCTCTTGCATTTAGAGCTCATCGAGGAGTGGGTCCCTGTTGGGCAAGGATGCATCAAAGAATAGCAATAGCAATGGGGGTTGTTCTTGTTCGGTGAGCTCATGAGGTCCTCCCCACACTTGTCATATCCTCCACCGTCCCATTGATTATGGAAAACCAGGGGCGCACACCAACAAGGAGAGCAACAACACCGAGGGCCGTGAGAGAGCGGTGCCAATGCACCGACGACAAGGGTGAGGTCAGAGAAATAGAATGACATGTGAGGCTCACATACAAGGCAAGTCAACTCATGGGCACTAGATGTCATTTTGCAATTATTCTCTCTCCTACTCAGCCTGCAAATATTATTTAGTGGACATGATGTCTTCCAGCAAATATGTCACGTACCATAGTGTACAACCACCAATTGAACTTTTTCAGTGTCCGTTGACAATTCATAGCAAATTTTGCCATTATGAAAAATACATTATATTTCATAGTATATCTAATGGAGCTTATTTGATATCATAAGAATTATTGTTATTTTCTACGAACTTGGTCATAGCTTACACACCATCTTCCTACATGCATGGGAAGGGGCCTATCACCAAGGCTAGTTAGAGGTGGTGCCATATACCTATGAGGATGGAGGTGACAATGTTAGGGGTATGAAGTGGAGCTGTGGTACCCTTGAGACCTTTAACACTCCATTAAGGCCCGGATATAATACAATTCATAACCCTATATGCACTAGTGGCATCTAGAGTGATTCGATATCGGAGGCAGGGTACTATTTGACTAGTTAGTTTTCTTCTCATATGGCCTAGGCATGGCCCCAACAATGATGGTAACTTTGGGTATAGAAAATCTACAGAGTATAGATATTACATAAGGCCATGTCCATGGTCATGGACCGGCTTATGCTAATTAAGTGCTTTATATTGACTAGGGAATGATGTGTGCTTTTCTCCTTGGGTTGGTTATGGTCTAACTTAAGGCCGTTAAGATGGGGAAAGAGGGATTATTATTCCCATCGACAAGAGATTGTGGGTGGATATGAGCAAAAGCTTGGCGGCATATCTGTGGGTTTGGGGGCATGTGAGAAGTAGATAGAGATGAATCCCTACCTGGTTCGCATGACTTGGGACCAGCCGGTATCAAGGAATTCAGGTATTATGCATGACTTGGAACTAGCTAGTATAGCAGTCCAAAAGCCTTTTGGAGGGTGGTTGTAGTGACCAAAGACTTCCTTGTCTATTGACTTCTAGTAGTAGTAGAAAAATGCAAGATTCCCTTCTTTTGTTGATTTCTTAAACATTTCCAAGTTAGCCCTTCTGCAAATAAGTCTTTATAATGTAATGGATCCATGATTGTGCTTAGTTTTTTGCCTGTTTTTCTATGTTGTTGGTGAAACCATCTAGGCCACTAGTTGGGTTTCGGTGATTAAAGACAATATGTGATTACTGTGACTAACGTGTGTTTTGCAGAGGCAATTAAGTTAGGTCACGATAATGGAGATCGATTGGGCAATCATGGTGGTCATGCCCCAACGATGGAAATTGTTTCGGTTTTCAAAGGATGGATGACAAGGTTAAGGATGGACTAGTTCTAAGTGTCGTTTGGTGTTGAAGCGACACTTAGAGTAGTTTAGGACTTTGTTTTTCCTTTGGCCGTACTATTAAGGGGGGTATGGATGGGTAGCTTGACCTAAGTTAGTCTAGTGAGTTAGGTGTGGTGCACACTTGCTTAAAACTAGCACTAGGTAGCTCCAAAATAGCCCTTAGATCCAATGGAGTAAACTTCATTCACATATGATCGAGAGTTGGAAGTGAATCGAGGGTCAAATACTGACCGGACGCTGTTAGGTGTGACCGGACGCTGGCTCAGAGTCCGGTCAGTTCATTTGACTAAGGTGATTTCGTCTGGTGCGACCGGACGCTGAGAGGTGAAGTGACCGGACATTGAGGGCCAGCGTTTGGTCGACTCTAGTAAGGTTCCAGAGAGAGAAAATCACAACCGGACGCGTCCGGTCAGTGCTGACCAGACGGTGTCCTGCGTCCGGTCACACTTTAAACACTGGAGTTCGGGGTGAACTGACCGATGCGTCCGGTTAACATGACCGGAGCGTCCGGTCACCCCGCAGAGGCACATAACGGTTTGTTTTTCAGCCGGTATTATAAATACCACCTCGATTCGTGTGTGGGGGTACTTTTACTCATTTCAACAACTGAGAAACACGTTTGAGATTGCCAAGAAGAGCAAGGCCCTAGTGAAATGATTGAGATTTGAGAATCCCAAAGAGAGCCCTCATTAGTGAGATCAAGAGTAGCAAAGTGTGCATCCACCCTTCTCATTAGGCTTATCATGGTCAAGTGAGAGTCCGTGCTTGTTACTCTTGGTGATCGCCCTCACCTAGATGGCTTGGTGGTGATTGGGAGCTTGGTGATCATCCGACGGAGCTTGTGGATGACCCAACTCAAGTTGTGAGCGGTTGTGGGTGATTCACCGCGACGGAGTGTCAAAAAATCAACCCGTAGAGAGCACTTAATCCTTGCGCGGATCAAGGGGGAGCTACACCCTTGTGCGGGTGCTCCAACGAGGACTAGTGGGGAGTGGCAACTCTCTGATACCTTGGCAAAACATCGCCGTGTTCCTCCTTCTCTCTTTACTTTGAGCATTTACTTTGAGCAATTCAATTCTTATCATTTACATTCCTAGAATTGCCATGCTAGAGTAGGATTGGAACTTAGGGTGCTAAACTTTTGTGCGTTAGATCAATAGAAACACTTTCTAGGCACAAGGGGTTAATTGGGCTAACCGTAGAGTTTAATTATTGCAAAGAAATTTAGAATTAGCCCAATTCACCCCTCCTCTTGGGCATCTTGATCCTTTCAATTGGTATCAGAGCCCCATTCTCACGTATTTAGACTTAACCGCCTAGTGAAAGATGTCTCACGGGGATAGACCTGCTCCTATCTTTGAGGGGGATGATTTTCCATATTGGAAAATTCACATGGAGGCGTATCTAGAAGCTCTAGATGTTGGAATACTTAGAGCCGCCTCACAAGGTTTCCCAAAACCTTAGGATGCCACACACCCACAAGGCGATGAGTTGAATTACGAAAAATGGAATGCAAAGGCTAGAAACACCATATTTAGAGGCATTTGTAAAGATGTGTTCAACCGGGTGAGGAACCACAAAGACGCCCATGCACTATGGTCGGACGTTTGTGCACTCCATGAGGGAACAAAGAGTGAGCGTGAGAAACGCTATCATCTTGTCATGAAAAAGCTTAACTCTTTTGAAATGCTTCCTAAAGAATGTGCTAATAAAATGTATTCACGTTTGAATGTTTTTGTAGAGGAAGTCAATGGGTTTGGACTTACTCAAATGCAACCATCCGATGTTGTAAGAAAGATCTTGAGTGTCCTCCCCATTGACAAATATGGGCACATTGTGACCATGCTTTATCAAGGTGATCTTTTCACCGCTACACCGACACAAATCTTGGGAAAGATCAATGCTCATGAGATGTACATGCACATCACACCACAAGATGGCTCATCCTCTACCAAGAAGAAAGACAAGGACTTAGCATTCAAAGCTAGTCAAAGAGAAGGGCAAATCAAGACTTGAGTATGAGAGCTCAAGTGATGATGAAGTTGATGATGCAAGTCTTGCTCTCATGGTGAGAAAAATTGCCAAGATGCTAA